CTTCTTCTTCTTCTTCTTCCTCTCTCTGTCTCTCTCTCTCTGCCTCTCTCTTCCCACCTTTTATTGTACTTTAAATACATATAACATAAAATGGATCATTTTAGATATTATGAATAATACTACTGTGAAGATCAGTAAATGAATATGACTTTGAAGCTTTGCTGACAATCTGTTTAATACATATCCAAAATCAACTGCTGAACCGCATAGTAATTGTACTGTTTTGAACAAGTGTCATATTGTGTTGTACAGTTGCTGTACCAATTTACATTCCCAAAGCTGTGCAAAAGAATTCCACTCCCTCACGGGATGTAGTGATGCATAGCATACTCCTCACTGCAGACACTGAGGCAAGAGAATCATTGCAAGTCCAAGGCCAGCCTGCACTATATAGCGACATCATGTCTCAAAAAACCAAACTAAAAATGAGCTTCACATCCTCACCAACACTTGTTTTCTAGGGTGTTTTTCTTTTTTATTAGTCACTCTTCTGGATGTGGGACATTGTCTCATTGTTGCTCTCACTTGTGTCTCCTCAGCCATTAGTTATGCTGACCTGCTTTCATTGATAGAAATTTGTATGTCTTGTGTGGAGAAATGTTTGCTCAAGTCTTTTGCCAATTTTTAAATCAAGTCTTTTATCTCTTTGTCTTTTAGTTTTAAATTTTCTGTTTGTGGAATACTCAACCCTTATCAGATGCATCACTTGCAAATATTCTCTGCCATTTTATATGTTGCTATTATTCCTGTTTATGCTCCTCTTTTAATACATGACATTTTTTAAATTTCCATGAGATCTAATCATTCTATGTTTTCTTTTGTTGCCTGTACCTTTGGCGTCATGTCTTAGAAAGCATTGTCACGTCCAATGTTGTAAAACTTTTATGATTTTATCAAAGGATATTATAGTTTTAAACTTTATTGCATATTTATTTACATATTACTTATATATTTCATCCTTTTTGAGTAAATTTTTGTAACTGGTATAAGGTAGGGATCCAACTTCATTCTTTCCCTTAAAGATATCTGGTTTTCCCAGTATCATTTGTTGAAAAGTATAACTTTTGCTTATGACTAGTCTTGACAACTTTGTCAAAACTCAGTTGACCATCCAAGTGAGAATTTATTCTGGATTTTATTGTATTTGGGTTTGTTTGGTTTTATTTGTGGTATCAGGGATTGAACTCAAGACCTAGCACTTGCCAGGCAGGCGCTTATGCCACTAAGCTATATCCTCAGCCCCTGGGTTCTGTAGTATTTGTGTGGCTCCATATCCGTCTTTACGCCATGACACCTTGCTTTCATTATGATACCTTTGTAGTAGGTTTTAAAATCCGGAAGCTTGAGTCCTCCATCTTTGTTCTTCTTTTGCAAGATGGTTTCAGTTGTTTGGGGTTCCTTGAGAGTTCATGCGAACATCCTATTTATACAAAATAATGAAACATTTTATTTTGATGAGGATTTCTATTAAGTAGTATTGATACATGAACAGCAATAAATCTTACAAAAGGAAGTGTTTTCATTTATATCTTCTTTAATTTCTGGTAGTTATGTTTTCTAGTTTTTCATTACATAAATCTCTTCTTAATCACACTTAATTCCTAAGCTTTTTTGCCATTGTAAATGCACTGATTTTTATAATTTCCTTTACAGATTATTAATTATTAGCGTATTATACTGCAATTTTTTTGTGCATTATTTTTTTTTTTTTTTTTTTTTTTTTTTGGTCTTTTTGAAACAGGGTCTTGCTATGCACTTCAGACCGGCCCTGCAGTCACTTTGTAGACCAAGCTGGTCTCAAACTTGCAGCATTCCTCCTGCCTTACCCTCCTGAGTTCTGGGATTACAGGCAGGCACCTTGTGCATAATCTTTATATCTTGCTACCTACTGAGTTCATTTAAATAGTTTTAAGGAGTTGAGGAGATGGCTCAGTAGAATAAGCACTTCCCTGCCAAGCACAGGGGCCTGAGTTCAATCCATGGCTCTGCCACCAAAAAAAGGGAAAAGAAACAAAAAAAAAAAAAATAGTTTCAAGAACTATTTGAACTTTTTTCTATATAAACAAGTATTGAACTTTTTTCTGTATAAACAAGTATTGCTGTACTTCTTGCTTTTCTATTTGAATGCCTTTTTTTCCCCCTTTGCCTAATTGCTCTGGCTAGAACTTGAAATACTGTGTTGAATACCAGTGGTGAGAATGGACATCCTTAATTCATTCCTAATCTTAGAGGAAAAACTTCTCAGCTTTTCACCATTGAATGTATTTATTTTAGGTTTTTCATACATGGCTATTACTCAATTGAGATAGTCTTCCTCTATGTCTAGTTTGTTACATTTTCTGGGGTGGGAATCAGGAGACGCCTCA